ATTCCTTTAGGAAAAAGTAAAACTAAAATGGCTTGAAGTGAAGAAGTTTCAAATTTTTCATGAACTTCCTTACCGCTGGACTATTATATATAGTTGCCTGAAAGGTTTATTCAAACTTATGTATTCCTGTATCTTATAAAGAGAACAACATAGGCTATACTTTTATTGGTTTTAGAAAAGCTATGTGGAAGTTTCCTTCTAGTGACTTCATACTAACTCTTCTTTCTCAAAATTGACTAAATATATCACTGATTGTATGATTTCCTTTATCAGAAGCAGTCAGTTTCTATTTTTCTTCTTTTGCGTGCGTGCGTGTGTCTGCGTCTTTATTTGTTTCTATTGTAATTGGTTCCATAATTGAAGCCTGTATATTATTTTCACTTATGCAGTGTATTAAAGACAATTAGATACAATCTCAAGTAGTCGTTTCACCATTGTCATAAGGGCATTAGCACAGAATTTAAGTGTAGTTGAAGTTTTGAACAGGAAAAAACACAATAAAGCTGAAAGATGAATTTTATCAAACACTTACATGACAAAGAGAGTAAACAACTGCAGCACCACAGGTTTAGGTCAAACAAAAATCAACAAGAACCCAACCCTACTACGCATAATATCCATTAAGAAAACCAAATTTTGATTAACAGAGCAAAATACAATATTCAACTAAAAATAATCATAAAGAATACAAATGAGGTGGCAAAGAAGGTCTTACAGTGAGAAGGAGTTAACTTTGGGGTTTAAGCTACAGGTAGCTTTTTCTTGCTATAAACACCGTCTCTTCACAATGATACAGCCTATAAAAAACCCACAAACAAAATATTGATATTCCATTTCAGTTTTTGGCCCTAGAAAACTTTGAAATTACACTGACAGAGACAGAAAATCGAAGATTTCAGAAGTGTTTCAGTCTGTGAGGTGGAACAGATATCCCTAATTTAAACACCTACCAATTTTAATCAAATACCAGTGAGTAAAGAAGAACGACAGAGAAATTCTCGTGTTGTTACTGAGAAATCCAGCAAAAGCTCACGGAGAAAATTCCATAGAAGATACAGAAGAAGAGAGATGATGGGAGTAAAATCCGATGAAATTTCGTAGAAAACATCGACATGTATCTGTAGATGCATTCTCATCTCATATGCAGCTTACTCAGCAAAGTTCAACACACGTGTAAGCGCAGAGGAAAATAGAAGGTATGTGAAAATACCTAAATACCCTTTAGCAGCAAGCAGACATGACGACCTTCAGCTGCTTCTCTCGCTCTTCTATATATTAGTAATTCTAAAAAAAATATACTAGTAGAAAAGAATGGTTTTGATAAATTGAATTTGTTCTATAATACTTATTCTTTTAAAAACAGAGTGACATTTCTTACACTCTTATTACTACTTTAATCAGTAGAGTTTTAATTAGTCAAAACGCTTAAGAGAGAAAAATGATAGCATAAACAAGTATTTTATGTACTTACGACTACTTTCTCCGGCCCTATTTAATTGATTTTTTGGTCTCTTTTGCGGTTCACAATATTTGATTTATCAGATATCAAGAAAAATTAACTTCTTTTTTTTAAAGTTGTCCTTGAAATAAAGAATCTCAGAGTATCTGTTATACTTCTAATGAATAAATTAAAGATATAGTAAATGTTAATATGAGTAATTTTAACATTAATTAATATTAAAAAGGTGAATTGGTTAATATGTGGGAAAACAACCAAAAAAACCAATCAAAGTGGACCCAGAGAAGTATTACATAACTTTTATAAGAATGTATGTGATCCTTAAAAATACAAATAATATGAATCAAATGTAATAACTCCTAAAATATCATTATTGTATCCACCTACTAAATACTAATAATAAAAACATCTATTTGACAATCTCAAGAAATAAGGGCTACAACACATAGGAACACATCAGGATAATTATATCTTTTCTACGACTGTTGAGCGTGCATTTTTAAAATGTTGTTGAATTTCTAAGAAATAGAAAAGAAAAAAAAATTCAATATTGCAAGGTTTAAATATAAATGATCTATCAAATCATGAAACCTGACATAAATAAATGATTGTTTATACCAACTGGCAACTTAATTTTCTTTTATGAAAAAGGTTTGGCGATTTTTTTAAAAAGTTAACTGGAACAGCTATTATTTTTTTGGGAGTTTTATGAATTAAAATATTTAAAGGTTTGTGAATTTTTCTATTTCTCTTCTTCTGGAAGAGACCGAGATAAACGACATATACCCAAAAACTTATCATAGCGAACTTGCTTGATCAGCTACATTGCCAGCCCAAGCCCATATAGCAGTTACCTTATTGTTGGTTATTTATTAGGGAATTTGGGTTATAATAGCACGGATTAGCCAGTTTTCGGACTGATCATTTAAAAATAGCCAGTATTTATCAAGTCATTAAAAAATAGCCACTATTTTGCTGCAACAGAGATCGGTCCAGCATAATATACTAGAGTTCGGTGCACCTGTGTATGAGCTTTCAGCATATTATGCTGGACCGGTATACTTTGCTGGCTACAGTATAATATACTGGAGTTCCAGTATATTATATTGGAATTCTAGTATATTATGCTGGAGTATTTTTCGGATTTTGAACAGTATTTTCGTTCAGATTTGTCTTTACATGAAAAGTGGCTAAATTTCGATGACTTTTGAAACTGTGGCTATTTTTGAATGACCACTTGTAAATCTAGCTATTTTTGAATTTCTCCCGGAATTTGGGGCATTTGCATCTATATCCAGTTTTGGAGTCACTATTGAACTTATACCTGCTTTGCACAAAAAATTGCAAGTCTACCCACTTTTCGGATAACTTCAAACATACGGGTCTGAAGTAGCAAAAAATTATGTTTGAAGTTTGAACTTCAAAATTTTTTGCCTGAAGTGTGACCTTATCAAAGCAATACTTCAGATATTTTCGCTCGAAGTTTAGCTTGACTTGCAAAGGCAATTGAGAAAACTTCAGTTCATAGTGCAAACTTCAGACAAATTAGTCTGAAGTTCTTCAATTTATAATACAAACTTCAGACCCGTTGAAGAACTTCAAACTTGAAATTAGCTGAAGAATACAACCAAATTAAATAAAAGATCAAGATAAAATTCTTGCTTATAAATATTAAAACCACCAGGGACTCCAGTCCAAGGCAACCAATAATTCCCACTATAAAATTGGAGACAGTGAAATAAGATGCATCCAAAAAGTTAATCTTAGCACGATAACCAGGCCATGTAACCCTGTTACCGGTATCCGATCTTGGACCCGTGTTCTTATATTCAACATAATACAACTTACTTAAGGTAAAACTCATACCCCAGTGCTAAATCACTATATATTTCATATTCAATCAGTAATACTTACACAGAGTCTCATGTATTTGAGAAAGAAAAGAAGAAAGAAAAAGAGGAAAAGAAATGAGGAAAAAAGGTGTGGACAGGTAGCAAGAAGAAGAAGAGGAGGCGACACTGGTTTGAAGTTGTAAAAATTAGGGTATAGAAAAAATAATTTTAAAAGTATGGGTATAGGTTAAATGGGAGCGACCAAATAAGACGTCCCGTGTAATTTTTACGGGAATTTGGGGTGAAGTACACAATTATCTCTCAAATTTGAGAGTTGTTCCAATTTGTCTCATGGATATAACTTTAAGTTTAATAAGTGTTGTCCTCACTTTTCCTATGACTAACACATTTAACTTTTGATCTTCACGTGGGCAGTATTAATGAAATAACATCCACTAGCCCCCAGAAAAGTATTGCTATGTAGCCAATTCCCCAAACCAACACATTTCTCCATCTCCTTCCTCAATCACCAACCATAAATTCTCTCTTCTCTTCCTCTTTCCTCTATTCCTCTTGATTAAATCTCCAATATTAATACCTTCTGATTTGGTAAACAAGTGAAAAAAATTTGGTAGAACCATTACTAAAGACTCATTTGGAACTTGCATTCAAAATCTTAATTTGCAAGTAGTAGTTTTGAGTGAGTATGATTGCAATTTGTCGAAAACACTTGGACAACACTTTATACCAATTTTGAGGATGATCAGATGTGATTTGGAGTCAAAATTCAGAACTAAAAAATGTGACAAGTATACTATATATCACGTGTATATCACATTAATATCATGTGTATATTACAGGGATATACACGGATGACACACATAATTGCATATGGTTTTACATTTGCCTTGTATGATTAAGGTGATAGTAATGAATTACTTGTGTGACTTATGAATTGATATTGCTATAAAATCAAAGGTAGATTTGAATTGCATCACTTGCAATTGTGACATTTTTTTGAATGACCATGATACCCGGCCAGTTTGAGCGTACCACAACTAATTCCATGAGGTACCTTCTACCTACTCCTAATATATGTATCGGTTCTGTCCACCAATTAATTTTTTTTCGATTTGGACATACCAAATTTAGAGCATCAATTAAAAAAAGAAATATGGACATAAAACTAAAAAATAATTTGTAAGACCACAAAATTATCTGACTCGATAATTGGATTAAATTTGAAAAGTCTAATTGATATGATACAAAATTTATAAAATAATAAAAAAAAATTGATAAGATATAAATTGTATAACTATTGACACCTCCGCTACAAAAATTCAAAATAACTTTATTTTTAAAAAAAAAAAAAAAACTGAAAATAAAATAATACAGCGTCGTTTCAACGCAGAACACATACGGGAAATGAAATATCTTTCCACAGACAACTTAAATCAACGGTTGAAAATAATCATCTAGAAAAAAACCCTAAAAAAGAATATGTAAAGCCCAAAAGTTTCCAACTGACACAACCATATATAAGTAGCCCACGCGCTCACTGCCTCCCTCCGCCTCTGTAATTTGCCCTCTTTTGTTTGTGTTTTCAATTTTTTTCATAAATCTCTTCGAAGCTCCTTTGGAGAAAATGTCGGACGAGGAGCATCAGTTTGAGTCAAAGGCCGACGCCGGAGCTTCGAAGACTTATCCTCAACAAGCTGGTACTATTCGTAAGAACGGTTACATTGTCATCAAAGCCCGCCCTTGCAAGGTTTTCTCTCTCTTAATTTTGTTATTTTTAAAAATTCATTTATTTTGCTGGCACTGTGAATATTTATAAATTTTAGATCTGATGGCTTTTGCGGATAATTTTACTTACTGATTTAGATTTGTAGTTTTTGTTTCAAGTTTGTATCTCTGTGCCGTCTAAATTTCGACTGTGAATTAGGGTATGATCTATTTCGTGCAACAACCCAAAAAAAAAAGGAAGAAGACTTTTCCATATCATTTGCTGTTAATAGACAATCTGCTTCAAGACTTAAAATAGATTCTAACTATCTGTTAGCAGAAAATATTAACATCACAAAATACAAACTCTGAAGTATGGACAGAGGCGGATTTAGGGGGCAGAAGGGTGTTTACCCGAACCCCTTCGCGAAAAATTACATTGTGTATATATTTACCTCTATATATTATGTTTTGAATCCCATTGACAAAGCCCAAATGCATGGCTTAGTGGTTCAGGGGTTCAAATCCTTTGTAAGGTCCTTAGCGTAAATCTTGCCTCCGCCACCGTGTACGGAAGGGTGTTTTTATAGTGGGTTCATAATAACATTAACATCACATAATGATATTGATGACAAGATTGTCTGACTTAATTTAAGGCAAGTCTTACTCAAAGAGAGAAGATATTAGCTCAAAAGAAAATAATTTCTAGTGGTAAGAGTCAACTTGTGATCTGTGGGTTAGTAAGGAGTGGGTTCGAACCCTGCTACAGAAAAAAGCCTAGTTAAATGGAGAAGGGAAGGGGAGTGAGCCCGTTATCCATCGGGTTTCAAACTGTGTGCACGTGCATTCGAGGGTTCTTTGGTTTTAAAAAATAATTTCCTTTTTGACTCTTGGGTTGGATTCAAAAGATTTTCACTTTGTTGCTGAATTGGATATCGTCATTGGTCATCTAGCTTTCAACAATATTTTTAATTTGGCCTTTGTTCTTTGTCTTTCAATCAGTAAGTTTGTCCTTGTATAAAATTTTCCTTCATTGCTTCGTGTTTGCTAACGTACACACTTCTTGTAACAGGTCGTGGAAGTGTCTACTTCCAAGACTGGCAAGCACGGACATGCCAAATGTCACTTTGTTGCAATTGATATCTTCACTGGCAAGAAGCTCGAGGATATCGTTCCCTCTTCACACAATTGTGATGTATGTGCTCCTGGTGATCTTCATGTGCAGTTCGCTATATTCTTTTCATTATTTAATTGTTCTAATGTATTATAACTGTGCTTGTTGCAGGTCCCCCATGTTAATCGTACAGATTACCAACTCATTGACATCTCTGAGGATGGATTTGTATATATACCTATTTCTCCCACTCGGATTCTTTTTTGTTATTTTTGATTAATTTGTCCTAATCTTCTGTGCATTATTATATTATAGGTGAGTCTACTCACTGAAAATGGTAGTACCAAGGATGACCTCAGGCTTCCAACAGATGAGAATCTTCTCACGCAGGTTAGTAAGCATCTGGCTTATCCAATTTTTCACCACCTATTTCCAAGTTGTATTTTTAAGCCCAAATAAATATCTGGTTCATTACCTGTATTATGCACCCTCTAACCCTCTAGGGAAGGAAGGGGAGCCTTGGCGTGAACAGGAGGTCACGGGTTCGAGCCGTGGAAACAGCCTCTTGCCAAAATGCAGGTAAAGCTGCGTACAATAGACCCTTGTGGTCCGGTCCTTCCCCGGACCCCGCACACAGCGGGAGCTTAGTGCATCGGGCTGCCCTTTTTTTTTGACCTTCTAGGGAAGCTTAGGTGGGTTCATGAGATGACCTTAATTCATTGAATCTTGGAATTTTAACAGCTTATGGAGCAGGCTTTTTAGTAAAAGGGGAATTTTTGTGCCCTCAAGTCAAAATTATAAATGTTGGTGCACATTGTGAGAAACTTATAATGGAGTTATGTTTGGTCGTTAATTCTTCTATTTCGAGAAAATGTTGCAGGTTGCTTAACGATTTATAATTTGCTAAATGTGCAGATCAAGGATGGATTTGCTGAGGGCAAAGACCTTGTTGTGTCTGTCATGTCTGCCATGGGTGAGGAGCAGATTTGTGCACTGAAGGATATTGGTCCAAAGTAAATTCGTTGAGAGCGGTTGCTCTAGGCAAAATATTTATTATCTTAATGGAGATGGACATGGCAATAGCGGAAAAAGATTGTGGACCAACTTGTTCAAGTACATCTACGTGGTTTTCTTGATATCGGAGGCCCCAATTTTATTTTGGTCCTATATCAATATTAGGACTTGAGTTAGATTGTTGTTTTAATATTTTGGTATTTGTTCTGTTTATGTTAAAGGTTTTCAAATTTGGTGTGGGAAAAGTTAATCTTGCATTATATACAATTTTGCATCTTCAGCTTTTATGAAGGTGCACAATTATATTCATAAGTGTTGACACATTTCTAATTCCTTTTATCCTGCATTTGCATCCTCTTAACCTCATTTTCTACGGATGATTATAACGTCCAATACTGGTTTGGTGAACTTGACGAAAAGGAATTCCTTAGATTGAGTAAAAATTTCCTTGGTAATTAACTAGCATCCTCAATTTCTTTGATTAGACTCCCACTGGGGACTAGCTTCTTATACTGTAGTTGAGATATGGCGTCTTAAATTAGCGCACTTGAATTCTTCTTATAGTGAAGTCGAGTTTTGGCATCGTATTATTGACTATTGGTACGCAAGCTACGGCTAGAATATAAGCAAATTTTCTTCTCTTATCACCTAAAATTGTGATGGGACCAACAGACCAAAATATGAAATTATACTGCTATGATCTGTAATAAGGAAAATCTGAGAAGTTATAAACTGAAAATTTGCTGTTTGTAATTCACCCAGAAACAAAAAGGTCTTGAAATGATTTGCACCCTCTCGTTCAGGGGTCCAAATGGTACATTTCTTACTGTATTAATCATCATCCTCGCTGCACGAATACACTGGCCAGGTTTCACTGCAGTAATCGATGATTTAACTCATATACCTGATGGCTGTTCCAAGCCAGTCATCAGGTATGCTGCCTTTCAAGATTCCACTAAGGGCTTTCACTGAGTGGTCCGTTCCTGCCTGCACCAACCTAAGTCTCAGCACACAAGAAAACAACAACAACAACAACTACGCCTTAGTCCCAAACAAGTTGGGATCAACTATATGAATCCTCACTTCTTTCTCAACACACAAGAAAGAAATAATATATCAGTCCTTAATCTCAAACTAGTTGGCATAGGCTGTATTTTTTCACCCTCAGTGGCTTTCCAGGATTACATATTACCTTTGTTATGTAGACATCGATTCCAAGCTTTGCAATCATAGCGGCTTCTGTTATCTTTGTCACCATCCCACCAGTTGTATCATGGGCAGCTACACTGAATTCAACTGTTGATGAAAGATTGAGGAATGATGAATAAACAAATTGTCTCTGAAAGATAGTTGAATGCAAGTTAAGTTGTTTAGTGCCTTGATTAAGACATAAGCAGCTAATCCAGAATGACACTGTCTTCTTCAGTCACAATTTACGGTAAGAACAGATGTACTTATACTCATTACGCACACAAGGCAATCAGATTCGCAGCCCCAACAGTATAATCTTCTCCTTTTGGGTCTGGCTTTCTCATACATAATTGTGGGCTTGTTTTATGACTATCAATATTGAGGAATTTGCAGATTGAGAATAAGCTACATTGGTGTTCAAATGCATATTCAGTTCCCAGAGTAAGCAAAATTGATGAGACAATACGATCGCTCTACACTGACCTGGCTTGCTTGTGTCCTCTAATCTAGGTTTCACTACCGACCAGCTTCCATCTTCACGTACAGCTGTCACAAGTAAACATTTCTCATCTCAATATGATACAGCTTACTGTAGATGCTCTACGGAAAGTAATATATTCAAAACAATGAACCCAACTCTATCGCTAATGGGCATTTACCAATTTCTTGGATAAGTATAGCGCCAGGTTCTACTGGTGGACGATCATATACGCCAAGTACATCCGTCTTCACTCAAGATGTATAGGATAGCATTTACAGAACATGATCTCATGTTGATCAAAGACAGAACCACAGAGATGAGATGAAAAGTAACAGCTTATGTCTGTCAGGCCAAGTTAGTGGTTCTGTATTCATTTTGTGCAAGACTGAAAGCACCTAGACGCAAATCTGTTATCCTGAGATGGATCTAGAAATAGAATCTACAATGCCTTTTAAATCTGAAAACAGATTGCAGGTTTGAAGGCAATGTTTCCGAAAAGATTGTAAATGGACCTTCACATATAACACAGGGATGATGTCTTCTCATAGTTTTACAGAGATATTATGCTAGAAAGAGCATTCGGACCCACTTTAAGACTATTTTCTCAATGTGACATTTATGTCTCAAGCATAATTAGCACATTCGTGTAAAAATGAAGAATCTAGAAAGTCTTACGGAGTAACTATTCTTATTTGCAAATCTCCAGCATGAACAGTATCAGAATGCACTCTCTACATAACAATGCGTCGGATACAAGAAAAACAACAAACTCTGGCTTTAGTTCAGCTGCTAAATGACGTATTATCACGTCTCCACTCAGAATAGTGCACTCCTGAACAAGTGAAAGGATTAAGTAAATGATCACCAAGTTAACGTTCAATTATACTTGAAAAACAGACCTGTAACGTATCCAGGATAGCATCTCCATGCAAAACCTGGAATTCGAATGAACTTGTGTTACAACATTCCAATAGTTATGCTCACAAATTAGAAAAGTGAAGCAATTACAATAACAAAGTGACCAAATTAGGAAGTGATACTTTAATTCACTAATCTGATATCCTATGAAAGAATAATGAAGAAAAGCTTTATGAAGGGCAATATAATCGAAGTTCCTTGCAATGAAGAAAAGAATCAAAAGTCCTCACTCAAGGCAGAGCGAAAGCTAAGCTAAGGTACATTTGTAGAAAACCATCTTTTTCTTTTTGCTAACATAAATTGGTTATTTCACACAGATTAACATTGTTTATAATGAACATGACACTAGCTCAAGTAAAATAATATTTTGAAAAGCTTTCGGACTACATAAATAAACTTTAACTGCTAGCTCCTTTCATATATAATTTAGTGATGAACTATCATTAACATTAGTTAATCCATAGTTAATTGTACTCTAGAACTGAATATCTGATTGTGAAGTATAGTTCAATATAAAGATAGCTTAAAATTACGCACAGACAGTTTGTACTATGTGTTAATACATTTATTGGCTTTTAACTCATGAAATAACCCATACGGCTAAGTATCAGCACTGAGCAGGTTTCATGCGTATATGCGATTGCAAGAGAGACAATCATCTGTGGTATTTTTCAAATAAGAAACATGAATTACTATGAGTGAGGAACAAGTTCTCCATATCTCTTAAAATTTCTTGGTAATGTTTAATGTCATGAATCAAATGTTGTGCTAAAAGAAAAAAAACACTTTATATGCCTTCAGATCTTTAACTCTCAACAGAAATCTGCTCCTACATCATAATTAAATGTGATCCTTTCTGCCTATAATAGTGGTATAGCAGATAGTTAACACTTAAGCTCAAGTCATACTCAAATACATGGAAGATACTTACTCCAGCACGTGAAAGGAGCTAGAAGCAGAAGTAATAGCGGGCACATAGTGTTACATCGATACTATTAACTTCCACCCCTCAAGAATGAAGCATAACGTTTTGCATGATGGGAATGCCCTCATCCAAAAGATTTTAGCCCCAACACCACTTCTGTCAATTTTCTTTTTCTGCGGGTTTTGTCATAGTTTGTTAGATACAATGTCATGCATCAGTCTAAAGTTTCCAAAAAGTTACATTATGACCTAGGCTGCTTCACACATATCATAAGGTTTTGGCTTCAATACTCCGGTTCTTTTACAAGGTAACAGAGCTAATCTTAAGTAAAAATGTTCTCTATGTAAATCTGTTCAATCAACCGTTTTCTCTCTACTTCTAGTCCAATTGTACATTGTCTCTACCCAATTAGTCGCTTTGCACTTGGCTCAGTCTACTCAACTCAACTAGCCACTAGCTCTATTGTAGGTTCTTTTCTCTACTCGTTTAACCCAGTTTCGATGCTTCAATCCTCCAGATACCTTCTTCAACTTGTTGATCCTAATCTCTTTGCTCTAAACTCACTTTTCAACCTACGAGCCACATTAAAACTCAAGTTGTTGAGATTACATATGCGAAATAATGTTACAGATACACAACATGCCGCACCATGTTAAGAGTTGCAGATGAGCTTTATCATTGTCCGGCTGCTCCACCCATTATATTAAGGATTTGGATTGGATGTGCAGATTATTTATAATTTTAACATGGCAAGCCTTTGGTTTAGATATATGGGCTTATGAGTCACAAAATTTTAAGCACAGAACAATCCACTGAATAGGAAGGTCAGAGTCCCTTTTAGGTAAGACGGCCACGTGAATTTTGGTAACTTCAGTTTTGAATCCTCGTGTGTAATTCACTAATTCCTTAACCCAGTACTCGTTTTTTCACTTATTACTTAGTATTTCATGCATGTTTATCAGCTCGTCTATCGCCATGGAATGTATCTGCTTTTCTCTCTTCAACCCGAAAATAGCCGATCCCGAAGTAAAAGATTCTAAGGATCCCATGGATCACCAGAGTTCCGTTCCTTATGCATATAATCTGTTGTTTTACAAGCTTCGGGCCTTTAGCTGGTGCTGGCACCTGCGACAACGCCTCCGGAACCTCGACTGTTGTTGTTCAACAGCGGCGCCCTCTTCCAAGAAGAATGGATTCAAAATTCTTGATCAACATGTCAAATTGAGTAAGACAGTGCGATTCATCATTACCAACAACATTCACGCACAGAATCATCCTAAAAGTAAAAAGCTAGAAGGAGCTTTGGTAGTAGAACATTTTCCTTTTCTCCATGTTCTTCTACAGGTTTTTTTGAGCTTTTGGTGTATATATCAAACCCATATGATCATGAGATTTTGCACTATCTATAACATTCTTATAGACATTCATGTGGAACATCAAGTTTATGAATACACATCAAAAAGAGCTGACAGTTAAGCACCTCTCGAGATGAAAAGCCTAAACATCATGAGAAAGCTACGTACACAATGCACATTCTGAATGATATGATTGCCGAAGAAAATGATATGGAAGATATCAGGGGAAAGGCAAGAATATGGTCAGGAAGTCTCTCTTTCACATAAAAAAAAAACTGAAAAATAATCACAGAGCCTAAGGAGATAGTTATACAACAACAACAACAATATCCCAGTATAATCCCACAAGTGGGGTCTGGGGAGGGTAATATGTACGCAGACCTTACCCCTACCCCGAGGGGCAGAGAGGTTGTTTCCAGGAGACCCTCGGCTCAAGAGAGCAACAAGAGACAATATATTAATACTATCAATAGACCCATAGTAAATAACATAAAATACATAACATAAAATAACAAAATAACAACAATATAAGAAATATAGGAAATACGAAAAGGATGTAAGGTATACTAATATCCAACAGATACAGCCCTGCATCCGTAGCTGATCAGTAGCATCCTAAGTTTAACTCCTAAATGGCTAGTCTCCCTCTAGTGCGCTGTAGTAATATTCACAAACTTCCCCCTAANTATCATACATGTCTTTAATCACCCTAGTATAGTCAACCGGGACCCCTTTTAACCTCTAGGCATCTCCATAGGACCTCCCTAGGAACCCTGTCGTACGCTTTCTCTAGATCGATAAACACCATGTGGAGATCCTTCTTCTTATCCCCGTATTGTTCCATCATCCTCCTAATAAGGTGGATAGCTTCTGTGGTAGATCGCCCCGGCATAAACCCGAACTGGTTATCTGAAATAGACATCGTCCTAAGGAGATAGTTATATGTGTGAAAAATAATGAGTGGTCAGGCTAAGACCCAACAAGTTTAAACTCACAGGTATAAAACCAGCATCAATAGCTTTAATGACCATTGAAATGTCAGCCTCTGTCATCTGCAAAAGCACAAGTTGTCAAATTTCAAACAATTTCATGGCAAGGAACAATTTGTTTTTTCAAAAGAGCTTAAAATATAGCAATATATCCATTTAATAAAATGATATTCATTTCGCCTTCTAACATTTCTTTGACATGTTGACCAACCACATGAGAATGGAGACATTCCGATGGAAGGAATACCCTCTGCAACAACAAAAAGCATTTGTTAGGGATGTACTGGTAAGAGACAAAGACATAAAATCGTAACGTAGCGCATGACTAAGTAATCTGTGAAGAGTGAATTCAAGTAAGCTCTTCAAGTTAAAAATATGCATTTATGATGAATCATTAACAAGCCTTGTACATGAAGAGCGTTGATTGTTTGACGGTTGACTGGATGGACAGTTATCTGGTACTATGTAGATCAACAGCATGACTAGATTAATTAGGATGTTAGCTTTAAAAAAGAGTGATGTGCCCTTGTAACATCTTCCACAGAGCATCATAGCCCCTCCAGTCTGATATGACAATTACTTATGGCCTTCACAGTGTCTTTTCAAATCCTATTTCTTATCGTGCAGTAAAGAAGTTGGGCTAAGAGAGAGATTTCAGCACTTAAACATCAAAATTCATTTCAAATCCCAACCCTGCCCAAAGTGAGACCCACTGGAGGTAAATGAAGTGCAGATGTGAAAATGTTACATGTCACGCTACCAGTTACATTTAATCTCATCTATTTCAAGACAGGCTTAGAGACTAGTGGTATAGAAAAGAAATTGTTATGAGTACCTCTTGCTAGGGCTCTCACGATTTCAAGATTGAGGGATGTGACCTGGCATAAAGAAAAATGAGTATTCTATTGCATATTACCAGGGAGTCAAAGCAAAAGCATAAAAAGGGGATCATTACATAGAGACAAAGGAGTCTAACAAGTAATTAAGTGACAATCACTTAATTTGTGCAGGACACACCAAACCCGTCACACCTAAATAGACATCTCTCAGGTAGTGCATAAGGTTAAGCAGATAAGAACTCAAGCATGGAAGTTAAGCCCGCATAAGATCCTGGAAATATGCCCAAAAGAAGAGGAGAACTAAGATGCATGCATGAAGTATTTTCTGTTATGTTTGTGACCCAAATGAAAAAACCATGGAATGTAGAAATGCAAAAGAAACAGAGGGAAGCAAATATTTCACTGGTCTCAGCAACGGCGCCGCTAGTCCTAAGTTAAAAGCAGAATGTAGAAAAGGAATAAAGACCAAATATCAGCTATATAATAGAGTTGAAAAATGTATGCCACGCGGAACAAAGATATTGCTTGAAAACGGAAAGGTGAGGGCTGGATCTTACTGAAATTCTTGTAGCAACAAAACCAGCCTTGACAAGAGGTTGGCTTAGTCCACCCTTATGAACACCTGACTTGCTAGCTTGAAAGTGTCCAAAGGAACCTGAAGGCAATGATGACAACGTAAAAGGGTCACGAGTTTACACGAAACTAAGAATTAAATTGTCCTTCTAGAGCAGTAAATCTGGTAGATTTATATTTTATTCATTTCATAATTCACATAGTTTTGTTGGCTAATGAACCTTAGAAATCTTGCTAATGACTAAGCACACTCGACAATATCAACCTGCTCCATGAACAACAATAAAACTTTCTGAATCCACAACTGGTTGATCACTGAACTCATCGACGAAACTTGGAGGTTCAGACTGTCCAGGCCTTTTGCTCCAATCCATTCCAAGAACTTTTGCAGAATCAGAATTCGGAATCAATGCTTGACGAAGCTGGGATGAAACTTCCTTAAGATTCTCCTCATCTATAGTCTCCAATTTATTTTTACATGTGATCGCTGCACCTCCTGAACTAAACAGTAAACAAATAATGAATCCTCAGAAAGAAGACATACTAATAAGTAGAAAAGGATTCTAATCCCCTTGTTTAAAGTAAACCAACCTGATGTCACTTCAAATGCTATTTATACATTGTTAAGAGTAACCTAAAATAGTTAAATACAAACTCCGAAGAGGGCATCAACTGGTCCATTCTAATTGTTAAGTGACCAACACATTTCTATTTTTATTTTTTCTACAGGTAAAATCAATCATTATGTCTCAATCCCAAACTATGGGCTCATATACAAGGAATCTTCCGTATCAGTGAAAGAATATACATTCTTGTTTGGCTATTTTTATGTTGTCCCTCAACCTATTATAACTCTCCTTTATCCAGGCTTGTAATGCTATGTTTTGCACATATGTGGAGTTAGTTTTTCCCCTCTTGTTTGTAGGTAAAAATTATCAAAAAAGAAAATAACAGTGTTTCGTGCAAGATGAAAGCACATCTAAGCTGAGGTATCATCATATCCGAGGGTTGATAAGTAAAGGAACTCTTTCCCTGAAGAAGATACAAGGATCATAGAAAAATTAAAAAATGGTTCTTTCTTTTGAGTATTTTCCGCAGAACTACAAAGTGTAAAAGTACTTGCTATAGCGAAATCAGTTGCTCCTCTCGGGTCGTAATTTTTAATTATTTAGAAGGATTTTTCACGTTAAAATCCCTGTGTCTTTGTTTCTCATTTTATTATCGTTAATTACTGTATTTTGGTTCTTTGCAATTATAACCGTGAATATTTTTTGTTGGTTATTTTTTTCAATAATTGGTATCACAGCACATGTTCTGCTCATAAATAGAAATATTTTTCATGGTCGGTTGTAACTCTAAGAGAAAATGTCAGTAAAGTACGAGGTAACAAGATTCAACCGTGATGACGGTCTTTCTATATGACATAGAAGGATGAAAGGTCTACTTATCCATCAAGTAAGGCACTAGATAGCAATGGGACGAAGCCCGAACCCATGAAACATGAGGACGAGGCAGACATGAATGAGAAAGGCAACTAGTGCAATCCGATTGTACTTGTCCGATGAAGTACTCAATAATGTCGGTGATTAAGATAGTGACTGTGGTATTTAGAAAAGACTAAAAGCATGTACATGTCCAAATCCTTGGCAAACAAAGTACAAATTTCTTATCACATTTAAATATGTTAAATGGATCAATCATGCAGCTAGCCAACCTCGGAGAACAAATTAGTGAAGTAGATAAGGTTATCTTGCTACTAAACTCGTTGCCATCTTCCTATGAATAATCATCCTGCATTGTAGAGATGCCATTGAGTTAAAGGAGGTCATATCAGTCATCCTACTCAATGAGAAGATAAGGAACAAGCTTGAAAATCCGGGGCAGGGCTCTTATCATGGAAATCAGAGGCAGGAGTCATTATAAAGCTTCGAGTAGCCGTGATAAATTCAAAGGTCATGGAAAGTCCTGGGATCGGTCAAAAGGTAGAAATTGTTACAATTGCGGCCAACCCGATCACTTCAAAAGAAATTGCCCAAATCCAAAGAAAGATCAAAAAGCAGTGGCCATAAGAATGATGACAACATAATTGTCGTTGTGCACAATGATGATTCGGTGGCTCTCTTCATTCACGAGGAGGAAGGATGCATATACTAGGCAAGCCAGGAGTCAGAATGGGTGATTGACACAGCAGTATCTTACCATGCCAGTCCGAAATAGTTCTTCTATAGGTATAACAGAGAAAACTTTAGGACGTTCAAGATGGGAAATACCAATCACTCAAAGATTGTGGGATTAGTGGCATTTGTATCAAGACAAATGTTGGAGACACATTAGTTCTAAAGTTGTGCAACACATAGGAAATCTGCGAATGAATTTGATTTTAGGGTCGCTCCAAATTGAGGCGGGTACGCGAATCATTTCGCCAATAGGAAGTGGAGGCTCATCAAAGGATCATTGGTGATTGCTAAAGGAGTTGCTCGCTACATATTCTACAAGGCAGCCACTCAATATGTGATGCGATTTTAGATGATATACCAGTAGATTTGTGGCACCAATAATTGTGCCATATGAGGGAGAAGGGATTGCAGATTTGTGGCATCAGATGCACATTAGTTCTCTACAGTGCAAGATGGTTGTTTCCAAATTATCACAGGAAGATGACAATGAGTTTAGGAACAGGATACCCTTATCTACTTCACTACATTTTTCTCCGGGATTGGCTAGCTACGTGATTAATCCATTAAACAATTTAAATATGACAAGAAATTCGTACCTTCAGTCATATGAATGGAATACAGTTTTTCTTAAAAACAACTTGTTTGTCAAGGATTTGGACATGTACAAACTTTTTAGGTTTTTCTCAAATGTCACAGGTACTACCTTCATCACCTATATTACTGAGTACTTCATTAGGCAAGTGTAATCAAATTGCACAAACCGTATTTCCATCCATGTTTGCCTAATCCTTCGGTTTCAAGGGTTTGAGTTTCGACTCATTACCATCTAGTGCCTTGCTTGTTAGATGGGTAGATCTTTCATCCTTCATTGTTATACAGAGAAACCATTATCACTATCACTGTTGAATTTTGTTACCTCGTATTTTACTCATGATATATTTTTTTTCATAAAGTACATTACAACCGACCATGAACAATAATTTTATGCATGAGCAAACCCACATGCTCTGATACCAATTGCTGGGAAAAATAACCAACAAAAAATATCCACGGTATATAATTGCAATAAACACAGAGAACCAAAATACGGTAATCAACAATAATAATATAAAAACAAGGACACTTGTATGTTAACATGGAAAATCTTTCTTAAAAAGAAGAAAACCATGACCCAAGAGGAGCCACTGATTTCACTATAGCAAGAACTTTTCCACTTGACTAATATTGCTCACACTCTCTATTTTTCCTCTCAAAGTATTTTATTTCTCACACTTCGTAAATTCTTCTCTTGCTCTCTGTGTTTTGTGTCATACAACTAAGAGAGCTTTGGCTTATATATAGTAGTAGAATTGCCTTGTGATGTCATTGATGACATCATCCTTTATGCCAAAAGTCAAGTTTGACAGTGGTGAACACTAGGTTTGTCTCAGATTACTCGAAACCGGTACCACCCCAGTTGGGTTTTTTTTTTTTTTTGGGGGGGGGGGGGGG